AGGAAGAGAAAATCGAACCAATGATAATTAACTATAAAACAACGAAGTAGCTATTCCACTCGAACATCTTTACGTCTATTTTTATATTTATTTGCAAGAATATATAGATGCATAAACTATAAAAATGTATAAAAAATTTAAAATTAAACATCGTAGCATAATATCTTTATCTTAAAAGTTCTCACCATTACTGGTTAAACTCGCTACGCTGGCTTGTCGCATTGGGCAAATATGCCAGAGAGTCCCCTGGCGATAGAAATACAGGTGAGTTGCCAGCATCATCCGGATTTTTGGACAGGTTTTTTATTCCTGCGGGAAATAGAACCTCAGTATTGGCTCTCCGAATTGAACAATAACCTACTGAGCCATCCTATCTCCCAAATATCGTAATATATTAATTATTCCCAAATATCGTAAGTATTCAGGCTGAGGTCAAAGACTGAGTTGTTTTATGCTGACATTATTAGCTCTTTTCATAAGAATAAATCTGCCATTAAAAATGAATTTCGGATCGCTGCTGAAGATTTCTACCATCTATATTTCTATCTTCAAATGATTCCACAGGGGCCATCTAAATTCTTTTTTCTAACAATATAAATAAATTACAAAAAACAGAAACAACGTATAATGGAAAAGGATTTAATTCTATTATTGTCTAATTTCATAATCTTCCCTGTTAAATATAGAAAATTTTAATATCCCAGCTATAACCAGTCTTATAAATTGGCTGTAAAGCATTTCGGTTTTTTAAAGAGTACTTTAGCATTTCTGGTTTACTAGGCTTATTAGATTAAACATTTTCCCCATTTGGCGATAAAAATAAATAAATGACCAGAATCATGCGGTTTTTCTAAAAGATATATTCATTCCTGCAGAAAACAGAAATTCTGAATTCAGAAATCAGCGCTGGAAAATAAGTGTAACGACTTATTCTACATCTATCAACAATCTACAAAAAGATAGGAATGCGTTGATAACTGATAAAATTATAACTACTTTCATTGAATCAAATTCAAGCCTTAGCCTTAAATCTTAGTCAACTGCAAAAGAAAGTGCCAATCAAAACTTTTTTTCCGAATTACTAAACGACTTTCTTTATGGAAATTCCCGTCTCAATCCTGACTTGTTATTGTCATAAAATTTTTCTCTAACATTCCCATTATTATTCGTTTCTAATGTCCATATTGAATCGATTGCTTTTTTCCAGGAATCAACAATGTATTTTCGTTGCAGAGAGAGATTTAGATGTCAAAAGTATTAAAAAGCATATTTTTCGTGCAATAAACTCTTTTAGCATTAACAACTATCGTTTAAATATTGAATATATTGCTATCGATTGCTATTTTCAAAAATTTATTCATTTTTTTTGATTTTTTAGCTTCGCTGCATTATGAATATGAATCTTCTTTTTCCCATTCACATATTCTGGAAATAATTATTTTACTGAGTTCAACTGACCGAAAATACAAAATACAAAATATTATATGATCAAATTTAAGAATTTAAGAGTAATTCTTCTTTCACGAATTATTTTTGATTTTTTGATTTTTTTGATTGATTGTCCAAATTTTCGCGTAATTTAAGCAAATTAAGAATTACTAAGAATTTAGCGATTAAGAAGGACTTTAATGTTGTTAAATTGTTATGCCACTTTTTAAAAATTATCTATGCCTATTTCAGTTATTTTTATGCGGAATTTTCCGCTACCCATAAGATGATAAATGAAATATTCTACTTTTTTCTTATTGTAAAAGTACTCACAATTTGTTGCTTGGATGGTTAGGTTGACTAAAAAATTATTAGAATTTGGAAGTTTTGTTGAGTGAGTTTGGAAATTTAGTTGCATGATGATTGGATCTTCACTTCTGCTGATAAATTTATTTCAACCAAGAAATAGAAATATAATGATTTGACTTTAATTAAAATAATATATATTATTATTTATATATTATATATTTATATATATTTAAATATATATATTATTTATATCATTTTCTTATTACGATATTTGATGGAATATGGAAAGAACTGATACATTGGCAGAAAGGAAATTAAATAATTTTTTAAAAATTTTTCATCAAATTTTTTCTTTTTAGGAAAAAAAATTACCAAAAAAAGAGTGTACGATGATAAAGTCTGTGAAATTTTCGATTCATCGAAACATATTAGCTGAATTATCCATAGTTACATTGGCGTACATTTAGCAACAAATTGCGGGGTTTTTTTTTGCACTTTGTTTGTATAAAACTTGCTATAAATCGTTGCCATGAAGATTATTTTTATTTTAAAAGAAAATTCGTTTCATTCAGTGAATATATAGATATATTAGGTATATAGATATTAACGACAACATTGATAAGGTAGGTTGATAAGTTAAGTTGATAATTGATAAGGTATTATTCGGTTCTTCATTATTTTGTTCTTATTCCATTGTTTTAATAGGTTCTTATTGTTGGAAAAAAAATATACAAATGGATATGAAGAATTAAGATTGAATGATATGCCGTATAATCTCGACAATCAGCGTGTATATGAGCGGAAACTCATTATCAAAAAGTTTGGCTTAATGCTTGGCTTAATGCTTGATGGGCAAAAAATAATTCAGCTTCATTCACAATTATGCACAATGAAAATCAGAGGAACAAGTCATGAAGAAAACATGAATAATTAGCATAAAAAATTTGCAAAATTGGATTTATTCCGTATTTTTTGAAAATTATTACATTGTTTAGATTATTAGCGGAAAGGAATTTATGAGAGATAAGTTATTCGTTGAATCTTCGTAATCTAATCTTAAATCTTTATTAAAGCGATTAAATGTATTAAGAAAAGAATTTGCATTTTCTGATTTTGTACACAAATTTCACAAATTTTTAAATCTGAAAAATAAATGAAATTTTTCATTTTCCGTTGAGAAATACAATTTGAAAAATTTGAACTAAATTGATTTTTAAAATATTTTCCTTGCAATAAGTGAGAAATAAATTCAGATAATCCGAGATTGAAATTTTTATTGTTGAATTGATTCTTTTTAGCTGAAACTGGATTATGGCTATAAAAAAAATTAAATGAATAAAAAAAATGGAAGAACAAAGAATACCAATTCTTATAGATTATATAATCATCAATCATAATAGAAGCTTGACAAGTAAACGATTGCACTTACCAATTCTTGTTAGGCTTTTTCCACTTTTTATTACAGTGAGCTAGAGAATTACAGCCGGGCATCCAACACCACCCCAACTTTTTAATGGTAACTTCGTTCTCGCAGAGAATGAGAGCCGAGTTAGAATGATTTAATAAATAAATCAACTAATTATTAGGCTATTCTGTTTTCTCATTAAGCTTATTAGGTTCGTCGAATTGTTTTAGATGACTATTGACTTAATATAAAGTATAAGTATTAACACTATTTCTGCTTTTTGATCGAATATTTTTTCCAATAAGATTTTATTGAAAGATTTTAGAAACCAAAGTTGAAGCTAATAAGTGTACTGAAAGCATCAAAGCCGAAGATTTTGTTGCATAATGTGAAAAACGAAAAATTTTTACAAGAAAATTTACGAAAGTGAGCATTAATTAAATCGAAATAAAATAATATTTTATTTGATTTCAAAAAATTTACTATATTTTTGCACTTTTGCTGAACATGTTGTACTATTAAAAAACCTAAGCTGTAAAACTCTTTCCGTTCGGATGGTACTCTTATTGATGGATGGGCATCTTTTCATTAATTGAGGAAGATTAACGTTATCAATTATTTCGCATCAATAGAATACGTGCAATACCAAACCTGTCTAAAAATTCGGATGATACTGTCTACTTATTTATCGCTAAGGGCAAATTTATCGGCTACTATAAGCCAGAGAAGCGAGTCCAATCAGTAATGGTGAGTGAGTGTTTAAAAAAAAATCTTGTAACACGTGTGGTTTCGATGCCACCAATGCCACCGGAAGTGAAGGCCAAATATATTTCCGAAGTTTAAATCAAACATTATTTCTGGAAATCATTAAACCATTTGAATTATTTTATTATAAATTATTATTTTATTTGATGTTTTATTCTTTAATTTTTTTTTTGTTTGAAGTTTGAAATGCACTTAGATTCAGAAACAAAAGGGATAAATTCTTCATCTGATTTAACTAATCGAAATAATCTCAAGTTTTATCTAAAAGTAAAAAGAAAAGGGAAAGAAAAGAGAAGTGTGCACTACTGCATTAGAAGAAAATGAAAGCATTTTTTTCTCTATGTTAGATGGAATCCAAAATGGATATATTTCTGAAACAAATTTGATTTTCCCTTTACTCTTTATAAAATGAAATGCCTACATACTTATATGAGTCGTCTATAAATATTCGATTCCACGGTTCGATTCCTAATCAACTATATTTAAATATATGATCAGAATTAAGAATATCAGCGAAAGAGATGGCTCAGTGGGTTGTTGCTCAAATCGGAGCACCAATGTTTGGGTTCTGTACCTCTAGGATCAAACCCGTAAAATAAAGATGATGCTGGCGACTCACCTGTATTTCTGTCGCCAAGGGCCTCGCTGCCGTATTCATGTAGTACGACAAGGGGTGAGTCTAATCAGTAATGGTGAGGGCTCTTCAAAAAAATCATCAAGTAAAATAGAGATTTCGAATAGCATCACTTTAATATAATAAAAATTTGAGATTATCTGATTTCATTGCTAAGATTTGTGCTTCGTATGGCATTTAGTTGCAGGTTTCACTATCGCGTTCATCAAATTTTTAACAGTGCCATGCTCGTTTTTTTTTTTTTAAATTTGGCTAAAAATAGGGTTATATTTCCGGATTTTCTTTCCCATAACCAATTTTATTTTCAACGAATGAAAATCAGTCGATGAGTCGAATCGTTTAATGATGGTGGAAATTTTTTGATTGGTTTCATAAAAAATTTTCTCATCTCTTTTTTTTCTTGGCAAATCTGATTAAAAATATTTTTTGAACGAAAGATTTTTAAAATCACCTAAGGCGATGTTCGATCACGTTTTCATATGAACTTCTTTTTTTGTACTTTTCAATTTTCTGTTGAGTACTTTCAATTTTTTTGGATTATCTTTGTTTTCCATCGATTTTGATAAAATTTTTTCATCAGTCAAAACAAGATTACGAGTAAATTATAAAATTATCATATAAAATAAAAAAATATGGATTTTTATGGAATTTATTCATAAATTTATCTAATGGAATAGGTTTCTGAAGTAATTTATTGAAATTTAAACCGGAAAATTTAATTTCACGCTTCACGAAACCAAAATTTCAGCGAGGTGCTGACCAATTTCTTACATCATTTGATGTTAGCGAAGACACTGGAAGTGTACTGACAGCTGCATTACCGAGAATGTCGGCTGGAGCCGGCGCAAAAAAGGTTTTAAAACTTATCATTCCATCCATAGTAGTAGTGGTAGTGTTTGTCTAAAACAAAAATATAAGAACTAAATTTTTAATAAAATCAAAATTTTTTTTTTTCATTTTGATCTAGTAAAATTTTCAGGTTTTTCTTCTATTGTTTTTATAAAACTTTACGATTCTGTGATTCTTAAATTTTTTTAAAAATTTATGAATTAGTTCAATAATTTTTTATTCCTTTAAATTATTAATTAAATTATAAGCATATGGAACACTCATTACTTTTATCACTTATCATTTTCATTAATATTTTTTTTTGATTTTTCTTTGATTAATTAAGCAAATAATACTCGTGTTTCTTAGGCGAAATTTGATCATCATTGTGTTTCAAATTTTTCGGCGGGGATTTTATCGCCTCAAACTCGTACTCAGGTTCTTTCAGCGATTAATTTTGTTAATAATCCGTTTATTCGAGATTCATATGCCTCTGAAACTATTTTTAATGGTAATAATTTAAAGAGCTTTTTTAAAATATTTTTGAAAAATATTTTTCTTCTATAACATTTTATGATGAAAAAGGCAGTTTTCTAAAATTTTTTCTCTTCAGCAGTTGATTTTATAAAATTCCAATGATTTAATTAAATTTCGCTGAATATTTAATCAAGTTTGTATCCTTTAGGAGGATTGATGGCTACTGCTAGCACCTCAGTGGATACAATAATAAGTCAACGACCATCAAAAGTTGTTCATTTGCGAAACATTCCATCCGATATGACTGAGCTGGAATTAATTCAATTCTGTATGCCTTATGGAAAACTTATGAATTATCTTATTTTGAAAGGAAAAAACCAGGTTGGCGATATTATGCTAAATGTAACGGCATTTCTCGCATATTTTACCTAATCCCGATGGATTAATTGATTGACATGAATTCTGTCAATTCCTCTTTTATATATCGTCGGACATAATTTATCTTTATCTTCTTAAGCCAATAAATGCATCAAATTAATGTGACTTCCACAACAATTGACATTGATGTTATCCCCATCGGCGAGTAAATTGTTAAATTGAGCAAATCGCCCATATTCAATATAGAACTTTTTCAGGCTTTTGTAGAATATGAAGAACAGCAAGGAGCTCAAGCGTTGGTCGCATTTTCATTGGCCTTTCCTGTGGCCATTAGAGATAGGTGAACTCTTATGAACCAACTGTTTTGTATCCTATGGTAAAATGACTGCTCGCTTTTTTAATGATATATGGTTTAAATCGTTGTTAGCAGTTTTCAGTTTTTTGGCAAAGAAATAAATTATTATAAAGCAAAAGATCTATTTCACATCAATGAGGTAGTGAATTGGCATGAATAAGAGATGATAGCGAATAATGACACTTATTTACTTAGATAAATTTCTCTCTTACCAATAGAGATTTCAGATTTTGATAAGTACCAATTTACGAGCGGTACATTATGTAGACAGAAATGTTTTAAGGAGTTTTCCGAATGTTTGCGAAGTTCAATCGATATAATCTGAAGAAAACCAATCCTATCATCCTAAATATGAGCTGATTCGCATTTTTAATTTGGGCAGATTTCTATGAAGTAAATTAGGAAAATATTTTTTTAGGACAATATTTTGCCAGTTTTCGAATCATCAAGAATTAAAAACGGAGAAACGGAGTTTAGTGCCACAAAATGAATTTGATACTGACACAGAGGTTGGCTATTCAGTATTAATGTTTCTTTTCAGTGCATCTAACTCTCCTTAAATTCATCATTTTAATTTGGCAAAGGAAGTCTGAAATTTTGGATTCTTTATGAGCTGATTGTGCATCTTTAGCAGAACTAGCAAAACCCAAATGGCAGATGAATTTAGGACTTTAATAAGGCTGTCAACTTTTTTTATTCCGCAATTCCATGATCTTATCACTTTATTATCTTTGGAATGGCATATGTAGCTGTATATAATTTTTTTTTTTAAAACAAATTCAATTAAAGCTCAAAGAATTAATATTCTCATCATTATTAAAACCATGTGAACTTTCGTTGAAGAATTTCTTCAAATTGATGCTTTAAATATTTCATAAGGTTAATAATGTTTTTTATTCGTTCATCCACGAATTAATTAAAAGTAAAGATAAGAAAAACATTTAAAAAAAAAATTATAACTAAACATAAAAGGAAAATATAATAATTTATTTTTAATATTTATTAAAGTAAGGACCAACCAGATTTTTGAAAGACTCATTTCAGCAGGTACCATAGCGTCCTTTCTCCAAGATAGGAGCAAAACGATTCACTAAGCCAATCTATTTTAATTTTTTTATCACAGAAAATTTAAATATATGCGATCATTATTAAACATCCACACTTGCAAAATAAAAAAAATATATATATAAAAAAATTAATTTTTTTTCTAAGAATTTTTTTCTTTCACCATTGTTGGTTAGAGTGGCTCCGCTAATTTGTCGACTAGAATTTTACCAGTTCACTTCGTGGTAAATAAAGGTGAGTCGCCAGCCGTTACTGCGACTTCTGAAGGACAAGTTTATCAGTGGGACTAGAATTTTAGTATTGGCACTCTGAATTGAGCAACAACCTATCGAGACATTTTACCTTCGTCTGCATTCGCCATTCAGCGACATTGGTGCCTGATGAAGTATGTCGGCCAGATTCGAATCTTTTATATTTCCACTAAATTTTACCTCATAAAATAAATGGTACTGGATCGAAATAAAAGTATTAGTTTTCTTTATATTCAAATTCTATAATTCATTGCATAAGTAATTCGTCATTAATTATCATTCATCTAAAGAAATTTGTACTATTTTAGTCCATTTGAACGACAATATTGCGGCAATGATATTTCATCGTCGTTTAATAATTCTATTTATTTTCGCATTTCCTATGACTTTTGCAGACAAACAAAAGATATTAAATAGTAGTCGTCCATTCGTATACAATTAATTTCCACGATAATATTTTCATTATATAATGAATAATATGCTTAAATATTTCTCCATGTTTTATCTTCGATCTTACGGATTTTCGCTCATTCTTTGATTGAATGCGTTTCGAAATTTTCCTAAATATTATTTAACATAATAAATATTTTGACATCCACAAAAACTCGCTTTTTTCCTGCACTATTAAAAATAATAATAATAATTCGAATTTTAATAGAAAATAAATAAACTAGTTGTTGAACGGTTTTTCTATCATAATCTATTAGATAGATCATAGATCATAATCTATTATAAATGCATTGCATATCACAATTCATTCTATTAATTAGATTATTAATATTTACCGATAAGGCTTAATGATAATTATCATTAAGGCAGAATTTCAAATTTTACGAACGGAACATCATTATTGCCTACTTTTTCTGATTCATAAGCAATTGAAATTTTGACGAAAAATTTATTTGCTAATAAGTAAAACTATTTTAAATATATTTTTTACCCTTTTTTATTTTTATAAATTTATATATATTTTTCATTGTGATTTTATGAATTTACTATCTATCATTAATTGATTTTACTCAATTATTTTCAGATTAATCATAGCTAAGCAGCTAGTAGTACTAATTAATAATAACAACAATAATATTTCGCAATAATATAATAATGATAAAAAATGGTAAATAAAAAATAATCAACAATAGTGATAGTTTTATAACAGAAATAATAACAATAGTGATAGTAACAATTTATAATAATAGTAATGAAAATAAAATAACTTCTGGGTCTGAGGCTTGTGTTCGCCATTTTCTATCTATTTTTTTCAATTATACAACATTGTATCATTTCATATTTTATTTAATTTTATAATAAAATAATAATTTAATAAAATAATAAAAACAATAATTCTTCGTATTACTCTAAATATTTAAATTATTTCGCAATTTGTTTTTTTGATTTCATTGCGATAACCAACTTTATAATTCATATTAAAATTTTGAAAACTTCATTCAGTCATTTGCCGTTTATAAAAACTTTTCATATTTTCCATCCATAGTAATAAAATTATTGTTGAAAATTCCTATTTATACAAATTGAAAATTGACTATTTTTCATCACTAAATCAACTTTCATGCATGATTTTTAAAACTGGATTGTCAAAGTTTATATATCAAGTTGAAGGAAATTCGAGAAATAAATTGTCAAAAATTTGATATGAGTAGGATATGAACCAACATTGCTGTCACCCTCTCCATCTCATCAAAAGTCCACTAATTTTCTTTTTTTTTCAATTATAGCTCGAATTTTGCTTAAAAATTTGCTGAAATATCCTTGCATTTATTATTATTTTATTTTTATTTTTCATTATTATTTATTATTATTATCACTTTTTATTATTTTAAATTTATTGTCTTTGATTTGACAGTATTATATAGAATTATTTGATAAAATAAATAATAAATTAATAAAATAAAAATAATAAAAATAAATTAATGACTCTTATAATATTTTTTGCTATAAATTTATTGTATTTACTATTCTTTAATTTATTTGCATTTATATTATATGCATATTATACAATATTATGAAGTTTTTATGAAAATCGCTGCTTAATGTTTTTTTTTTAATGTTTTACTAATTTTTATAAGATTTTATCACATTGTTTATATTGTTAAAATTATATTATCTATTTTCATCATATTATTATTTATCTTTTAATTTAATTATTTTCAGGCAAAATTTTATTTTACTATTTTATATATCGCTTTCTAACTATTTTAATTATACATTTATTATAGCCTAATACGGTAGGCCAACATATACCTCTATTCCTAAGAGACTCATTTCATATGGAGTGCAGCTAATCAAATCAGAAAGGCTGTATACTGTTAAAAAAAGAAGATAATAAAAATAGATATTTTCACTGCATCGATATATTCGTAAATATTAAGCGTTTTGGCCTTACTGAATCGCTACAATCATTTATCATTTTTTAGTCAACAGTAATTATGTGCATAGATAAATTGATGTTAATATGCTCGATATGCTCGACTAGTGAATTATGAATCTTTACATGCTTTTTTAAATATCTTGAGACTTGCTAAGCTCTAAGATGGATAGTGCCAAAAGGGAAAAGAACCAGTTAAAACCTGAACCAATATGATATATTCAGAAGAAAAAAAGAAAAATATGGACGACCCAGTGATATATTGGTTTACATTGTGAAAAAAGGAGCGATTTCCAATACTTTGCGGTATGGTACCAAATTGAACTGCCTCGAAACTTCTTTATCCCTGTCGAGAAATGGACAATGGTGGAATTCGAGAAACGGACGATGGTGGAAGTTAGGAGCTATTAAAAAAATGCAAAACGTATTTCAATTTTGCCTATTTATTGAAATATAATAATAATGGCTTTGGTTTTCCTGTTGAACAATTGATTTTTAACACGAACAATGAAAAGAATTCACTCGGATTGCAAAAAAAAAAAAAAAAACATTGTTGGATATAGGCAAATAACTAATCTCACGATAATTCGCCAAAAAATAACTATAATTTCGTCCTTTTTTTTGCGATTTTTCGATGCATTTTTTATTCACTTTAGCGAATTTGATTTTTTTGCTAGCTTATTTTTTCTTTAAAGCTAAAGTATAGGATTTCTAAAAGCTGTTTATCTGATTTTCTTTAAATCTGAGCTTTATTCTTGGCAAAAAAAAGCACCTTAACCACCTCGTCTTCATTGATCCTTTAAAAATGTTCATTCATAAGGCGAATTGCTTGTTCGAATTCGAACCCCATAGTAGCCTTTTGCTTTTGTCGTTTCGCGATAGTTCAACGATAGCACAAGTCGATTTGAATCTAAAGAGGTCATTTCTCTTTCATTTAATTTCATTTGTTGATATTTTTCATAAATATTCGTTAGTGAGTTTCATTGTAAATAACTCTTGTCATCTAATTAATTAAGTTGAAATGAATTTGTTGGCTTTTAAGGATTAAGTCGCTTATGGACAACAAATGAGAAAATATTATAGAGGAAAGAGATAATTGAATCTACATGAGAATTATTAATTAACTAAATTATAAGAGAAAAGGAAAATTGAAATATCGGTCATACAACGAATTTTATGAATATATATATGTGCCTTTTTCCGATTTCTGTCGCTATCGCTTATTTTTCTAGAAATTTATTAAATCCTTTTATCCTCTTTTTTTTAAAATTTATTTTATAGTATTTTCGCTTTTATTTTTATGATATTTTCCTTGTTTTATCAATTTTTTTTAAAAAGTTTCATCATTACTGGTTAAACTCGCTCCACCGGCTTGTCAGATTGAGCAATATGCCATTTAGTACCTTGGCGATAAGTGAGTCGCCAGTATCACTCGGATTTTTGTACAGGTTTATTCCTGTGAGGAATCGAACCTCATCATCACGGCGTTCTCAATCGAGGTATAACCCACTGAACCATTCTATCCAACGTTTTGTCAATTTATAGTCAAATTTGTTCATTTATTATTTTTTTTCTAAAAGGATCTAATTTTTTTCAGTTAAATTATGATGGAAACTTCCTAAAAAACTTTTCTTCTAAAAGAATCTAATTCTTTCTAAAAAAAAATAAAAAAAACTGAATGATAAATGAGATAAATGAAAAAAAAATTGAAGTTGAACCTATTTATTGTGTTAGCGATAAAAATAATGAAAAATTTATATTCATCCAGTCTGCCATATAATTTTCTATAATTTATTTTTTTCCGATATGAATTAGTTATTTTTACAGTTCAATGAAAATAAAACACGATAAATCAAAA